ATCTGTAACCTTAAGGTGTAGAAGTCTTGAGAGGCAGAGTTGTCTGGAGCCAGTAGCCCATGAGTGGACACAACAGAGCCTGTTTGGTCATAGCCTGATTATCACTAGAGGGAGTTGGTGGAAATCTTGGGGTTCTCTGCCTTCCAAGTTCTTACAGAAAGTCCTGTGGGCAGGATCTGACACCTGAGGAGGTGGCTGTGCAATGGAATACTACTCTGGAATGAACATGTGTAATTCTGCAGCATTAGCTTCCATGTTTAGGTGCACTAGTGGCATGAATACTTTAATCTGTAATTATAGTTCAAAGGAATATAAAACTCCTAATTCAGAAACTTAACCTCTCCCCACCCTCCAAACCAAACTGCAATTCGTTAGAATGGCACTGCAGATGTGAATTAGAAGGACCTTGTGAAAGCAGCAGCTGCAGCAAAGTACTGCGTGCAGTAGGGGCGCTATATGGCAGACAGGTATTTTGTGTATTTACACAGAATACAGTCTCAGTTGTATTATTCCAGTATGTTTCCTTAAAAAAAAAAAAAAAAAAGGCTAAAAAATTAAAACATAATCAGTGTTAAATATGATTTTCTTCTGCTTTTCTCCATCAAATGTTGCTCAGATTAAAGGGGATCTTTTGCAGTCAGACCTATTCTTTAACTGTAGTTTTGATTATTTTTCTTTTTTTTAATTACCATTCCTGCTATTAAAAATGTGTGTTATACTTGTATAGCATTTTTGAGGTCTTGATGGTGAAGGAACATGACCTTGAAATAGTTGGCTGTATGTTTGACAGCCATCTAAAGCAATATTCAGTGTGCTTAGCATGTGTTGTTAAATGAACTTCAGAGTTCCAATTTAAATGATGAAGGGTGGGAATGCAGTTTAGGAAATCACCTTTCAAGAGTCTGTGGTCATGTCTAATTTGCTTTTCTGATTGTGATGTGATCCAGTTAGTACTGATGCTGAAATATTTATAAGCAAATACAGCATGCTGCTATATCAGTCATGATAACATGAAAGACATGCTAATTTTAAACATTAAATTTCACACTTTACTGCCATGGAGTCAATACATAGACTGTTGCTAGCCAAGCAGTAGTTGTAGGATCAATCAGCAAGAATATTCTTAATTTAACTGACATGAACTTACTAATGGCTAATTCCAGAGACAAGAATGCATGAACAGTGCATCAAGCATATGCCAATGAAACAAAATGGGCAATAAAATTGTTTTCCTTTTTCTTTCCTTTTTTTTGAGTCTATAGATTTAATACATATAGTATGATACAGGTAATCTTTTTTCCTTGATTAGAGAGAAGTAGAAAACTATTCACAGGATTACCATATGTGAAACACGAAAGTGCTAAATGATTGATTTTTGCACCACAAAACCCAAAGACAATTGTGGTTGCTTTTTTACATGTTCTCTGAAATGGAATTGAATGTCAGAATTTGATGTCTTACTGAATGTCTGTTTTATTCATATTGCTGCAGGAGAGGGGAGTCACAAAAGGGGCTCACTTCAAGTGATGATAATGCTTCATGCTTGTTTAACTTTTGCAAGAATGTCACAATTTTAGGGATAGATTAGAAATACAGAATTCAAACCTGTGTGTAAATACTGCAGTCCAAGGGAAACAAACTTTTATTGGCCGTTTTGCATGGCCAAGGCTTCACCCACAGGCTGCAGCAGAAATAGAAGTAGAATTTGTTTTGTGTCCTACTTTTTATCGTAACGACATTGTTGTAAGAAGTAATGAATGCAGGCTACATCATGTTTTTTATATGTCACCAGAAAACAGTTTTTTGAAGTGGTTTATTTGATTGTGGAGTGATGTTACAGTAGCATTGCAAGTCTAGGGTCAGTAATAATTGTTCTTAAGTAAGGTTTATGGGTTCCTCTTTTGAGAGAGGTATTTCTGTACAGTCATTTAGTGGTAGCTCTGCCCTGATTATAAGCTTTTGAATCTCCAAGCTGGTTGGTGAAGTGCCAGAACTGCTTTTGTTGCATCGTTGCATACTCCTCCTTAGGTCAGCATTACTACTAATAAGTTTTCTTCTCTGTATGTGTCAATGTGTGGTGTTGCATAAAAGTGTGAACACTCACTTCAAGCTGACTTGTTCTGCAGTTCAGGTCAGTTTTCTTTCTGAGATTATCTCTGAGATAGCAAGCGAGCATCTGCATGTGTGTTATAGCTGTATAAAAAGTGATTGCATTTATATTCAGTGATATGTCTCATGGCAGCAGGTGGTTTCTCCTCCTCAGAAGCAGCTCATTAGTTCATCTGAGGAGCTGTCATGTAATTAATGAAGTTAATCTGGAAACTTTCTTCTGCCTGTGGACAGGAGACCATAGACATCAAGGACTTCAGGGGAGCAGTTTCTTTACATAACTGTCCAAGAAGAGTTTGGTGATTGGTATGCACGCATGAGGTGATATGCCTGAGGGCAATTATAGCTACATCATAATGTTTTTGTGGACAGTGGCTGGAAAGCATGAGCAATGCATCACTTGGGCATCAAGAAATGGATGGTAGCATGGATGGGTGTTTCTCTATTTGATTAAAGGGAAGTCATGGGTGTTCCTGTCTGAATAGCTGGCAAAGAGGCTTCCCTTACTTCAGCTGTGTATTCATCATATTCCCAGCAGTTGTCTGAGCTAGTATTTGCCTCTGTGAGCAGTAACTTACTAAGCAGTAAGTGAAGCACAAATGAGAATAGCTTTTGAGGAAATACAAGTGTGAATTCGTAATCTGTGTCAATACACATGCATTGTGTTGCCCAGGCTTTCCAAATGCATCCATGCAGCCTGTGCTATTATTTCCTAGGCCATGTCTCATCTACACTTGTCATGCAGTTACCACACCCTGCCAGTACTTCCTCAAGAGGTACTTCCCTGACATTAACCTTTTTGCAGTGGTGGGTGGGACCAGAAGTTTTGCAAGAAAAGTTATAATGAGAAACTCTCTGGTAGAAGTTGTAGTGTAGAGTCCAAATTGCAGTGATATTAGTAAAGGCCCCTAGATTCACATCTGACCAGTTTTTATAATGTCAGAAATTATTTGCTTCAAGGCTTTTTGGTTTGGGTTGGGGATTTTTGGGTGTGTTTTGATTTGTTTTGTTTTTTGGGGGGGAGGATCATTTTTGTGGTTTTTTTTTTGTTTTTTGTTTGTTTGTTGGGTTTTCTTTAGATTGTTTTCAAGATAACTGGAAGGCATTTGTCATGTGTGTGTTTAAGCTGTGTCTCTTGATTGCTGTTGTGTCTTTTAGCCATCCACGTCTAAGCATGGCTGTAAGGCAGCATAAAGCAGTAAAGATTGACCATTTGGAGCATTAGAAGAAACTACTGGGAAGAAACACGTGTTTTTCAGTAGAGTGACATCTTTCTTTACATCTTTCTGACATCTTTAAATCAGGAGATTGCTTATATTTGCTCAGAAAACACTGATGGCAGAAACACTTGTTGCAAATGTTTTATCCTTTGTCTGGTTATAAGGAATGAGAACCTCTTTAGGTGCTAAAATAGACAAGAAAAAAAAAAGCAAGATTCAGTTTATAGGAGATTAGCAAGATTAACTCTGGGGATTTGGGAGAGATGAACTATAAAACTCATTTACATGGAGGGAATAGCAGCCAGACTGTCCTGGTCATGTGCCGGAGAGCTAAGGAAAGAGGGTTCTGTGGCATCCTTGGAGCATGGGAGTCTTACAGCATACACATGCAACAAGTTCAACACAGCAGCCTGCCCAGTGTCCAGTCGGGGAAACTGAGACCTGTCTGTGTGACCTTGCACTTGACAGCATGCTGACTCTGAGGCAGTGAGTCTGGGTTGGTCTGACCACTTCCGTATTTATTTTGCAAATATCCTTCCCCCTGTCCTACTTGATTTCCTGTTTAGTAGAGGAATATGGGTGTTTCCAGGATTAACATGGGCATTGAAACATCGGTGAAGTCCAAAATCTTCTTTTTTGCATGGCACTTTTCTTTGCTGCTGCAACACAGTTTCTTCTGTTGATTATAATGAATCACTTTGGAAAGCTGGCTTAGGGCAGAGGTGCTAGATGTGGTTGTGATTGAAGTAATTTGCTTTTGTAGGAGAAATGTGATACTTGATAGTTTTCTATTTCTTGATAAAATTCTGTGGGTTTGGGATTTTTTTTCTCCCCTCTGCAAGTATTTAGTAACTTTACAAGCTGTGGTAACTTTGACAGTCTTTGATAAATTGCTTCTCTTTACAGTAGGTAAACTTAGTATTTGCCCAAAAATACATCAAGTTTCCAATAATGCAGCTGATCTTGAGAAAGTAATTTTTGTTACTCCTGTCATGCCGGCTGAGGAGCAGATACAGAAAGCTGTAGAACACTCAGCTTTTCAGAGCTTGAATGTAGAGAGCTCTTCTACTTGTGAGATTTCCCATTGTTTGGCATCAGGAAACACTAGTCTCCTTCTAACATCTTTACTTTGTGGAAGAAGGTTTCTGTCCCCCTATTGCAACAGAAGAACCAAATAATGATGACTATTGAGGTGGGGTTTTTTTGTTTTATGGATGAGCTGCTGGATTCTTGGACCCCATGTGAAATTAGCCTTAGTATTGGATACCTCAGTAAATTGGAAAAGGCATCTAATTTTAGCTGCTTCCCTGGCATGAAAGGTCAGTGTCCAGCCCCACTGTTTTGCTGACAGACTTTATCGTGCAGAATTGCTGATTTGGGGATACAAGCCAGTTGCTGTAATTGTTTATAAACTAGCCCCCTTTTGCCAGGAAAGGATATGAAAGTCTTTCAAAACTACTGCTGGCCCTTAGAGTGCTGTCAAAATTTCTTCACTGCCCTTTTGATTGTCTTTTCCTTCTTGAGCCATAATGCAGTACTTTCTTCTTGGCCAGGGCTGAAGACTAGACCTACAATCTAAAGTTAGGCTTTAGCCTAGAATTAGACTTTTATTGTCTCCAGGTACACTGGTTGATGGTCTGTCTTCTAATAAGTGTTCTCTCTCCAAGACAGGCATCAGAACTACAGGAATAGTCCTGTGAGAGAGAGAAATAGTGGAGTTTCCTGTGAGGAAGCACCTGTGAGTAGATTATTATCTTACCTCTCTAAGTGCAAACACTGTGGTTCTTGTATAAAAGACTCAAAACCCAGTTCTGGTTTTGTTCACATTAGTGTAAACTCTGCCATCTCATGGTGCTGGAGCATGTCACAACGTGCAGTTTGGGCCCTGCTGTTCCTGGGGTTGATGAGAAGCTCATGTTTGGCTACTGCTCGTGTACAGGTCGGTTAATCATTTAAAACTTGATGTACCCAAATGCATTCCAGAAATCCACTGCGGCTCACTTTGAGCAGTAAAACTAGGACTTATGAAGCAAACAGGCATAAGAAGTAAACAGGCTTGCTCAAGACTTTTGTATTCTGCATGCTTATACAGGAGAGTGCTCTGAACTATTTTATTGGTTGGGAGTGAGAGGAGGTTTGGTAGCAACTGCAGACTGCAATGCCCACGCAATTCGCCATGTGCTTGGTAATAAATAATAGATATAGAGAGTTTTTGATTTCATGAAATTTTGTTTCAGATCAAGTGTTTAGAAAACAATTATACAGATTATAATTAGAACATATTTCAGGTCTACTTTCCAGCGGCCATAGGTATGGGGTGGTGGTTGGGACGGTGGGGGAGGGTGTTGGGTGGTGTTTTGCAGGAGGAATGGTTTAGTTTTTTTGGCATAACACAATAAAGGGAGTTTTCAGTTGAGCAGCCATCTCCTTCTGCAGAGGAAACTCACAGGGTGATATTTATGCTTGTTTAGTCATCAGAGATGAAGTGCACAATAATGGTAAGCCTATGTTTCTACAATTGGAGGATATTTCTCATAATGAAGGAAGTCTCCAAGGTCAACAGCTACAATACCCGGAGAAGTTACATCACAAAACCACATCTGCACAAGACTGCTCTCTTCCTCCCACCCCCCTTGTCTTCTTTTTGCATGTTCTCTCTCTCTCAGCTTAAGTCTTGCTCACATCCCTTGCAAGAATACTGTGGATTTGGTTTGGACTTCTGTTTGCAGTGTTATTTAGCTATTAAAAAAAATAATAGGCCAGCCCCCCAAGCAATCAGCAGGAGTGAATGAGTAGGTTTTTCTCCCTAAATAATTGGAAAAAATCCAAGTATAGTCTTCTAATATCCTGGACATTCCCAAACTTGGTTTGTCTATCTAATGTTTTTGCAATGAGCATTACATTGTATTGTCATGGTGGCAGCAGCAGCACCAGCCTCGGCCTGTGCACTTCTTAGTCATTTTCTGTCATGTTATAGTAGTGGGCAGCTCATGCTGTTACGTTGAGCTGTGTGTACATGAAGGAGAAAGTTTTAGGATGTTTTAGCAAAATTTGCATGAAGGAAAAGAGAGCAGGCTAGATCTTAATTTTTCCAGATCTTAATTTTCCATTTATTATGCAAATTAATGTAACTGGTACATGTAACACAGTTTGGAAAACTGTGATGTTTTCTTGTGTTTGTATGCATGAAATTTCAGTGCAAGGAATGTATTTTATAATGTTATTTTTCTAAGCAGTACTTTTCACCAATGTTTGCTTGGTTTAGCTATAACAAATGGCTGTTAATCTGAATTCAGTTGTCATATAATGGCAAGAACAAGGACACTCCTTAGAAGCCTACCTGTCCATTTTATTTGTTTGCCAGCCTCCTGGTGAGGTTTGCTCTTACTCCATCCACAGGATAGCAAAGTGAGAGGTTGCTCTACATACTCCTCATTGCTGTAGACCTTATTCTGTTTATACCCAAAACTCTGACTCAATACTGTTGAAGTCAGCCAAGTCATTCCTTGGCTTCAGGTTGTTCTGAATCAGTCTATAAACCTAAAAGTCAAAGCTGGTTCTAACAAAGAAAACAAAACCTTTTTCCTTGTGTTCCTAGCAGAACTTGTGTTGTGGTTTAAGCCTGTTGTTCATGTCTAATCATGCTCAGTGATGATCATTCCAAGCATCATATTAGAGTGAAATTACCTAGTATTCAATATTTCTTTGATTGCATCTGGTTTGTCAACAATTAGTGCATTTAAAAAGGGTGGTGGCATTCTGCCGTCCCTGTTCCCTCACTCTGCAATTGGGAATGGTAGTTACGAAGAGGTGTAAATGTCATCCACATAGCTAGGTAACCGTGAGTATTTAAGAAGGTGAGAATAAAGGCTGACCTTCTTTTAGGTGTGTACAGGTATGAGATAAGTTGGATTGGACTAGTGAAGGAAGGATTTATAAAGCTTAGGATATGTGTTTTGGAAGGTGTGCTAGATGTATTGGCTATAAGTTGCTCATCCTGGCCTTGCTCAGCATTGTGGCCAACATTTTACTTTATTTTCCCAATGGAGAAACAAGATACGCTTCAGAGCATCATCTCGGAAAATACGTGGAGTGCCTTCATGGCATTCTAGGTGGAGGCTTTTTGGTAAGTAATGAGATTCTTTCAAGTTTATTTTGGAACTACTCAATATTACTATTTCTTTACCATTTACACTAGTAAATTGATCAAATACCTTGTCAACAGGAATCTCTTAAGTTGGATCAAAAGAAATTAGCTATGTTACCATATAAGTATTATTAATTGTTATTGGTTATCTTATCTGCAACATTATGTCACTTTAAAGCTGAGAAAATCAGAGTCTAGGGTGCAGAATACATATGCAAAACTGGAACCAAGCCTCTGAGCGCGTCATGGTTTGCATAAAGGGTTAAATCTTACATTTTACTTATTTAAAAGGAGTTCAACAGTATACCCCTAGATAACTAGCATTTAGTTAATAGTTCCTTAATTTCTACTATATGAGATGTTGACAGTTATTTCTCTGCCTTAGCTGTTTATTCAGAAGAATCAAGTGGCAGTTACCAAAGCTTTGCATTCCAGTAACAGCAAAGGATGAAGAATCGAGTATGTTCATTAGAGGACACTGTTAATCTCAAGCTATTATTTTCTGTCTTTTGTAATTTTATGGACCACATTGTAGCATATTTAAGTTCCCTGACTTCAGGTCTCCTTTGTAATTTGCTTTTAAAAGTCCTCTTAGAAATAGGCTACAGGTCTGAAGACTATTCATCTGGGTAGTTTTTATTTTACTGTCTCGTTGAGTAAATCTAATCAGTTTGCAGATAACACTTCACTCTTTCTGTATGGTTTTCCAAGGTACTCCTGGGTGTGGAAACTTTTTAAGTTCAAACTATTATTAAATCCTGATGTTGGTGGGTTGGATACTCTGTTTAATCAACTCTCCTTGATTTTTATGGTAAAAGCTCTGGAGTATGGATGATTTGTGTTTTTTACAGGTAGCTCTTGCTTTGTTATTTTTCATTTCTGTCACTGGAAACTGGTTGTGAAAACCTAGAAGCAGCAGTCTGTAATGAAATGTTTGCCTGAATTGGGCAAAATATTCCTAGGCTCTAGTCATACTGGTTTGTCACACAGGCAATGATGACAAGTCTTCAGTGACTAATATGTCAGTAATAGTTGGGTTTTTTTTAACAAATAATTGTGGGAGACTTCTCTTGTAGTCCTCATTTGACAGAAAGTGAATACATTTTTTGGCAAAACATTTTATTTGGCGGATACAGCCTTTAATGTGAACAAAAACTTTTAAAGTTGAAGTACTTTAAGTTGCAGCAGTACCACAGCAGGCTCTTTATGCACTTAAGTGCTGTGTATACACAAATCAGAAATAGAAATACACCTATCTTGGTGTTGGTGTTACTGATATCAGAGGCAAGATGCCTGCTGTGTTAAACAGGAGTGGAACTCAATAGCTCACACAGAGTGCCTCAGCCCTCTGCCAAGAGTAATGTAAATGAAGTTAGTGTGAGGACTGTCTTTTATCTGTCTTGTCTGTGCAACAAAATAGAAGTGTGGTGTGTCTGCTCCACATCTAGGTACTTATTCCAGCTGCAGTATTCATTGGGCTTCACAATGATGACTCCTGTGGATGCTTTGGCCATGAGGACTGTGGGAAAAGCTGTGCGGTGAGCCTTTACACTCCCGTCCCAGATAATCTCAAAGACAAGGTGATGGCTGTGTCAAGAATTCATGTCTCTGTTTGCTGTGCAGATGCTGTCCTCAGTTCTGGCTGCCTTTATTGGGATCATTGGTTCTGGATATTGTATAATCATTTCAGCACTGGCCTTGTCTCATGGACCATACTGTTTTACTCACTTAGAAAGAAACTGGATCTATCCTTTCACTGAATCCTCTGGAGGGTAAGTTGGCTGTTCATGAGGATGTTAAATCTTCCCCTCTGTACACATAGACTGTATTTCAGTACCTTTCAGCAATATCCAGTAACCATATACCAAGATCTGTTCATAAGTTTATGCTTCTTGTTCACTTGGACTTGAACTTGCTCACTTACTCTTGAACAGATGGCATCAGTTACTCACACTGCTTAAATTTAAAACCAAAGCAATATAAATTCTCTGTCCTACAAAAAGGAATCTGATCATATATGTATAACTAATAATATCTATATACCGTATACTGTTCATATCCATGAACATCACTAACATAAAGCTTTAGGACTTCGAGGGATTTACAAACTATGAATAGCGGTTGTTACAAAAATTGTCTCATCATTTGTGTAAGACTGTTTTGTGAGGCTTGCTTCTGAAGTTGCTCTGTGTTGCTATAAACTGGCCTATTACCTTCATTAGTGACAATGGCATAGAAGCTTTGTAAATGAACTAGAAAAGGTTTATAAGAATCTTTGTACACCACAGGGCTGGGAGGGCCAGAAGCGCCTAACTATCTCTAATTAGGGCTCTCCAGCAAACCAAGCTGAATTGTATGCTATTCCCCATTAATCCACACAAGTCCCACAGTCTGGAAGAGGATTTGGTTTGGATCATGGCATGCTTTTACAGCGTCTGTATGATTGGCAACCTCGAGGTTGTTTCTAGTAACAGTTTATGGCTGATGCCAGACTAGAGAAAGTTTGAGTACTAAGAAACCACATAAAGCAACTTTGCAGCAGAGAGCTTGAATTTTACATTTCAATTGCATCTCTCCTGGGAGGGGACATTCATCCTCCTCCTCCATTCCCTTCCCCCTTGCCCCCTCTCCCCCCATATGACTGAATACAGAAGAACTGAGTCAGCTCCTTGCTGAAGGTTCATCAGGGCTGATGTTCTGAAGATATGGATGCGAACTAACAGCTGGAATACTCTGAATTTGCTCTGTGTTTGGCTCTTCCAGCATAGGCATGTGAGGGCCCAAAGAAAGCAGCACAAGAGAGGAGGTGACCCGTTTGGATCAGTAATTGCTGTCTTCAGAATAAAGGCCCAGTCCTGAAAAGCTCTATGGTTGTTTTGAGAAATAGCTTTGTTCTTTCAGCTTCCTTGAGCTTGTGTCTCACTTTAATCAGTAATACAAGATTCTGCCTTTATAGCTTAGTTTGCTTTTATTTTTTATTTTGCTTTTTTTTAAAAACCTTTTTAAGAAATTAAGACTTAACAAAAATGTATGGTTGATAGTTCAACATGCTCTTAAACAGAGCAAACTCTGCATGGAATAAACCATTGCATTTTCTATTCCCACTTTGAGTATCCTCAATGCAGTTACAGACTGGACATTATTTGTTCTAGTTATAGTAAGCATCCCACTCTGTTAATATGCTTCTAATTGCTTTGTACAGGTACTTGTTTGAGTATAACAGGTGGTCTGAATGTCAAGAACCTCATAACATTGTGCAGTGGAATGTCACCCTCTTTTCCATCCTTCTTGTCTTGGGAGGAATAGAGTTCATTCTGTGCTTCATACAGATAATCAACGGCATTCTTGGAGGACTGTGTGGGTTGTGCTGCAGTCATGAGGAGGTAAGCCATTTGTAGTTATAACCATACTTTTTTTTTTATATAAGGAGGAAGTTTGAGTATAAAGAGGAAGTTCTTTACTGTAAGGGTGGTGAGGCACTGGAATGGGTTGCCCAAGGAAGTTGTGAATGTTCCATCCCTGACGGTGTTCAAGGCCACGTTGGACAGAGCCCTAGGTGGCATGGGTTAGTGTGAGGTGCGCCTGCCCATGGCAGAGGGGTTGGAGCTAGATGATCTTAAGGTCCTTTCCAACCCTAACTATTCTATGATTCTGTGATTCTACTTCTCAGATGAACTTCAAACACTTGTTACTGATGTTACTGTGGAATCTTACTTAGCAGCTACTTCATAGGTATTCTTAAACAACAATTCACTGTACAGGTTTTTTTACAGCCCTGTTGTTTGACCACATGACTTCAGCTGATCCCTCAGCTGTCACAGTGAAGTTAGGCTGCAGAGGAGCTGGAAGGCTTTTCCCCTCCCTGTGGCACCTGTTGTCTTCAGCACTATATAGGTGTGATATACCTGAAATACAGATCTCCTGGTGGTGTTTTTTGCCAAAGCCTAAACCACTGTTGCATAGTGTGCTACAGTTTTGTGGTAGGTTACTTGTTCTAGCTATATTGCTTTAGCTGTGTATTTTGCTCACATGCAGCAGATGTATTACTGAGAATATGCAGTAATGAAAACCACAGCCTCTGGCCTTGTTAAAGGGAAAGAATTAAATTGCACATAGCTAACAAAACCTGCAGACAGATCTGATGGGTTTTTTGAAGGAAGGGTTTTTTGGTTTGTTTTTTTTCTTTTTGAAGAAGGGAAATTTTCCCAGACTTCTTTAGTGTCCCGTTAAACAGTTTGAGTATGTTGTTAAAATTGGTATCATAGTTATAGTGTTGGAACTGTAGTAGCTTAAGGTATGAACCAGATGTGATTTATATCACACACATTATGACTAAGAACGTTTCACATTTTTAACTGACGTAGTTGAATGCTGTGGTTTTATCAAAGCTATTACTGTCTTCTCACTCCTGTCTGCTATGCTGTAACTGCAGTATAAAAGAGCCGTGCTAAGGTTGTCTAAATGTAGCCAGGTTAATTTTAGCTCTTGTGGTTGGATATAATATTAGCTTTCTTCCCCTTAATAAGTGTCTTTCTTTTTGTTCTCCCCACAGACATACGCTTGCTAGAAACTTGGCAATGTATTGACGTCGGTACATATGTGTGATGTATTGAGATATCTGTGGGGTTTTGGGGGTTTGGAAGTTTGGGGGTTTTGGTTTGTTGTGGGGTTTTTTTGTTGTTTTTGTTGGTTGGTTCTGGCTTTTGGGGGGGGGGGAGGTTGGGCATTGTTTTTTTCTTTTGTTTTGTTTTTACATTCCATGCTTACTAAAATGCACGTTGTTTGTCGTCAAACTGTGCTATTGCCATCAATTTAACTGACTTGAGGCCAGCCTTTGTTGTTAGTCATATGTGTGTTTTCCAACCTGCCTGTATCTAAAGCCAAAATGTATCCTGAATTTCTCTGGTTCATTTCATTTTAGTATGGGCAACTGCCTGAACGCATGTCACTATAGATGTTGGGTTTGTGCTTTTTCTTTCTACTGACAAAACGGCTCTGTACTTTATGTTGTTTTCCTAGTAAAGTTGCACTTTGTTGGAATGAGCACAAACCCAACCTAGTGTGTCCTGGTATAAAGGAATACTAGGCTGGAACAAAAATAAAGCAGCAGTAAAATGTGGGTTATTGAGTGCAGATATATGTGCTTCACCTCTTCAGAAGTTTTCTGAACTTCTGTATTTCACAAATAAAGATTTATATTAAAAACACCCAGCAGGTGTCGGTGATTCTTTCCCTGCCCCTGCTGAAACACTGCTTTCCTCATCTTACTGTAAAAGATAATGCAGCATTAAAACATGACTATAAGGCAGTCAGGTTATAACCTATTTCTCCTCTCCAGCAGGCTCTGTCAGAGTGGGAACTGCTTCACTGTTTGGTTTAGATCATTTAGCTGGGCCAGGCAATTGTGCATCAATAAGGGTATGATACTTCAGTGACACGTATGGCTCTGTGACAGATTAAACTATCTACATGGAGTCTTAGTCCTGTGTCTGGGCTACTAGTTAGTTCATTGCTGATGGCCATCCCAGGGACCAGAGGGGGATTCCCATGCAGCTGAGCTATAGCTCAAAAACATACCAGAAACTTGAGGTGTGTCTCAAGCTGTTCTCACAGCCCAGTCTGCCAAGTACAAAAGTATATCTGAAAAAAGAAGTTAACCGTGAAGATGAAATTGCACATATGCATCCACAGCAGCAAAAGAACTCGCAGATGGGAAGAATTTGTGTTTAGCACCTCAGGATATCCGCTTCTTGCAATGTCATTTATTCATACATAAATACATAGAAATAGTTGAGGGCAGTCTTTCATACTTTACTGCAACTGCTTATTGTATTTATCTGTGTCTTGCCCTGCTAAGAAGAGAATATGTGCGTGTATGTGTGCATACACGCAAAATTCCTTGCAGCTTTGCAGCATGGTGTCTTTATATATGAAGAAACACTGTTTGAAGAAAGCTCTGCAAGTTTAAATTAAGGGTAGAGTGAGAGGAGGAGGAAGAAAAAAAGCCTTGGGTGGCATGGTTTAGTGTGAGGTGTCCCTGCCCATGGCAGGGGGTTTGGAACTAGGTGATCTTAAGGTCCTTTCCAACCCTAACTGTTCTATGATTCTAAGAAAAGAGGGTCTTGATGGAAAGGGCTTAATTCCCATACAACTTACAGATTTGTTTGCTTTCATGCTTGTGCGGTTGTTACTTGTCTTTCTGGCATATACAACTAATTAAAGAACTGAATCAACTTTAGAAATTCCAGTGGACAGAATGATTAGGTTAGAGTTTAAAATTAAAATTTTAGCTCAGATGCATGCAGTGCTAATGCACAGTATTAGTACTCATTGCTTATGTTGTGATTTAAGAAAAGGCCAGTTGAATTCCTTTGTTGCCATATGCGTAAGACAGTGGTTTGGGAGCTTTATCAGTTTATCATGGAGAAGAGGTTGGTTTTAGGTTATTTCAGTTAGCAGAGAACTCACTCATCCAGAGTAAACATGGCTTTTCGGTAATGGGCTTGGCATCAACTTTTGGATATTGACAGCAACAAGAAACCAGTTCTTGCAACACTTGGTAAGATATTTGAGAAACTAATTCCTAGGTTTGCGTAATATTTAGTATAAAATGGAGTGGATTTTGGTTTTGGTTGGGTGGTTTTTGGGGTTTTTTTTGTTTTGTTCTAGCAACATAGTGTGCCAACAAAAATACAGACCTTGATTTGGTATTTGCAGAGCTCAGTTTAAGTACAAAGTAAGTCATGATGTAGACTGCTATACTGCAGAAAAAAATACTGTCTCAGATGTCATTTTGCATGTTTCTTTAATCAGAGTAGATTACTATGGCAAATAGCAGCCAATTACATTGTTTTTAGCCTATTACATGATCTCTGAGTTTTCTAATAAAAAAATCAGTCCCGGGGATGTGATGTGCCTGCTTCTAATTCAGCTGTTTTTTCTGAACTGTAAGGCATAGCGTTGATGATGTGAGTTCTGTCCATGCCTGTGAGCCTGCAGAGGGAGGTTTGCTGCTAATTTTTATTAGAGGCAATCCTGATAAAAGTATCTGTAGTGATTAGGGAGTAAACCAGGAATATGGGAAAATCCTCAGATTAAAGTATAAGGACTTCAAAATGAAGCATCCTAGAAAAAGAGGGGGAAATGGAGAGTCACAGCAGAGAACATGTAGAAAAAGGGTGTAATTGCATGAGTACCACCATGCCCATTTCCTTGATCTCATTCAGAGCAATAGGAAGGAATTAGTTTCAACATGCAACCCAGTTTTTTTTATGAGATCATGAGAGAAGCCTCATGTGCTGAGCCTGAAAACAGCTATTGAAGAAACAGAACAAAAATATGCCATGACATCATTGCTTCTAAAATCAGCCTTCTTGCCTTTGATAAAGCCCATGTATTTTTGTTCTCTGACTGTGACTTTCCTATTGAGTAAACCCAAAGCTCATTCTTCGGTTATTTTTCTGATGACTCACAAGGGGTGTTTTAGTGAGGCTGCCCCAAGTTAGCAGCAAGTGTTGGTTCACCCTTAGGGTGGTATCTGCTAAACTCTAGTATTAATTCTCTGTAGTGTAAGGCAGTGTGGACATATTTATCATTTGACAGCCCCCCTTCTCTATATAAGGTATAGGAAAAATTTTGGGCTTCAATAAGGCTGAGCAACCTGCCTTCTGTCACAGAGTATCTACATCATAATCTGTGTTCTCGGGAGGAGTGCATTTTTAAGCAGTTGCTAGGAAATGAGATTTTTTTTTTAAGTTCCTTCCTGAGTCCAATTTCTTGACATATTTTATTTGAGAGATCACAAAGGAGGATCTTTTAGAAGGGCAACTGCTACTTAAAGACACACGCTTAGAAAGGACAATGAGTTTAGACAGTGATATGCATCTATTGTTCTGCTGTTAAGCACTTCTCTCTCTGGAAGCATACCCCAGTCATCCTGTTCCTGCAAATATGAAATGACTGAATCAATCCGAGGAGGTCAAAACGCCTTTCATATCTAAAACCTTGTAATCTTTTGTTAGCTTAGAAGAGCAAAACTTCTGAAGTTCCTGAGATGGCTTTAGAGACATGTGGAAACTGTTTAAGTTGTCTGTTGATACCTCTTGCACTTTGGAGTATTGTTGTTAACATCCTATTATACTTCCCTAATGGGAAAGCTTTGCATGCCGCCAGTTACCAGCTTCCCAACTACGTGTGGTATTTTGAAGGGATCTGTTTCTCAGGTGTGATGGTAAGTGTTGATTCTATGACTTTTTAATAAATTGCATCCTACTGCAAGTAATGTTGGGTTCCTGTACAGCAATATAATTGTGCTTTTAAAGACAGTATGGATTACTTTCACAAAAACACTGCAGGCAGGAAAGACTTGATCAAACTGAAATAAATGTGAATATCCTGAATGACATGCTGTGTATACTATTTAATTTCATGTAAGTGGTTTTGAAGTGCCGATTGTTTTTTCTGCTGGCTTTTTGTTTATGTGTCATTTATGTTTGTATTGTGGAGCCAGGCACTGTGTTGATTTAAGCCTCTGTGGAGGCTGAGTTAGAACTCTTTTACCAAAATAAAATGTAACAAAACCTAAAAAAGCTTCTCATAAATGTTTAGATGTTTTTAAGAGCTGTGTGCAGTCCAGTATTTGGAGGACTGGGTACAGTTCACAATGTATCAAGTGCCACTGTTATTAGGCAAAATGCATAAGATTATCTCACTGTGATGGGCATATTGGTATTTTCTCCATTACATTTGTAATATGCTCATCTGTAGTAATACACTAACACAGATTTGCCCACTGCTCATACTGTTTGCTATGTTCATAAAGAACTATAGGCTCAGGGACAGAAAGCAGGTATGTAATAAAAGTGCATAAGTAAGGTGGTTTTATGAAGGTGCTGAACTGGGAGAGTTATTAAAATGCGAGATACTCTTCTGAAATTCTGTATTCTTAAAAGAAAAACCTTAACTTTTCTAGTGAAGAGAAAAGTATCTGACAGAGAATTTGAACAGAAAAGCGTAGTTGAAAATTTGGGAAAACGTTAACTGTGACAGTGACATTCATATTTTGAAGCATTTTTACCCTTTAAAATATAAACAGAGCATAACAGATGCAGTCGCCATCTTCCATAGGTGGACACTTTGGCTTAGTATCTCCAGTCATTTCACTGGCCTTATAATGTCCCCTTACAGATCCTTCTGCTGGCGGTAATTCTAATAATACTGGAGTGTAGTGTGTTCTATCGGTGCTGCCAGAGTGAGAGCTGTAACAAAACCTACAGGGTGAGTCTGTGTTTTATTTTTGTGGATATCTTCAGCATTATTTCTGAGTGCCTTCCTGTTCTTGTTGTTTCCAGCACATCCTTTTGCCTTCTCCACAGCAATGTTTCTACTTCCTTTTACAGAGAAGGATTCGAAGTTGGATTGAGAGGTCACAGGAATTGTAGCTTCTTCCTTCTGATGCATAAGCAGGATGCAAGAAAACTAAACAAACAAAAAAAACCAAAAAGAAAGCAACAAAAAAAAACAAACCCCAAAACAAAAAACCCACCATAAAATAAATCCTTGTAAATTAAAATTAGAACATAGAAGGCCTGAGAGCTTCAACGAAATGCCCCAACTAAACAGCTTCATCCCCTTGCTTGTATTTGGAAGTTCTTTTTTCCAGTAATGACTCAATATACACTGTCTGGGATGCAAATTTATTTAGTTTGTGATTGTGTTCCTGTCACATTTTGGGAAACAGTTGTGAAACAATGCAAGTTAAAAAAACCCAAACAAACCCCAGAAACAAACAGCAAAATAATATTTAACTGGGAGTTGTGAGACTGTCTTAAACTCTGTCAATCTTTATTTTATGTGTGTATGTTTACTGTTCTTTACCTGGTATTTTTCTTTCTGAATTTTAAAGACTGGGGAAATCGAATGTGAAATTCAACCTTAAGGAAGTAGCTAGGCAGGCTGAATGACTATTTGCTGTGGACACTGTCCCCGCACAATAATTTATTTCTTTTTCCTCTTCAGAGTTTTATATCAATTGTGCTGGCCCTGCTTGGAGTTGCTTTCTCTGGGTATAGTTGCATCATTTTTACCTTGGGGTTGATCCAAGGCCCCTTCTGCAATTCATCAGATGGATGGGATTATATCTTCAAAGACACTGCTGGAGGGTAAGAAACATCAGTCAAATCTCTGGAAAAAACAATAGTCAGTCAAA